GCGTTCTACATGGTCTCCCTGAAAACAAGACCAAGTTGCGACAACGAGGTCAACCCACTTCTAAAAAATGCATTAATCTACGTTATGAAGACCAAAATGGTGTGACCCCCGGTATGGTGGCAGTCTCTTTTCTATTTACAGAAGTTGGTTGACCTCGTTGTCGCAACATGGTCTTGTTGTCAGGGCGATTTAGTAGAACGCACCTTGTCCAAAGTCCTCTACCATAGTAGTTATCATAATTCCCAGCATCAGACAATCATCATCATCAATGAGTCTCGTCATTCTCCGCACCAAGTTACCAAGACAAGTCTTTGATGAGTTCGTAGCTTGGTGCGAAGAATGACAGCACTCACTGATGATGCCGACTAAGATGCCGGCGAAACGTCTGAGAATGTACCAAGTCCAAGGTCTGATGCTGGGAGTTAGGATAACTACTATGTCAGAGGACTTCTGACAAGGTGCCTTCTACTAAGTCCCTCTGACAACCAGACCAAATTTCGAAAACAAGGTCAACCCACTTCAATACATGCATAACTTCATTGTGGGTTGTGATTGACTTTTTCGTACTCTGACCTACGCAGGCACACACGTACACAGGCAACCGTACACATTCAAGCCTACAAGTACGTGGGTTGGTATAAAAATGAGGTGACTGAATTTTTATATATTATTTATTGTTGTCGTTATTGTTAGTCTTCGTGACTTACCATAAAAATTGATGTTTGAGTAAAAATGAGATGCAGCTCTGACGATTTCATGAAACCTATCAGACGAAATTTTGATATTATGCAATCACAGTCACCATTTTCATATAAGTCTGACCCCCGACTACGCTGATCTGACGCTCAAACTAATTATAGTTATTGAAGGTATGAAGATCAGGATGGTGTGGCCAAGTTGCGAAACCAAGGTCAAACAAGTTACATAGTTGTTTCTATAGAGTCATTTTTATTTTTTAAGTAGACTTTCGAATTAATACATAAACAGAGTCATGACTGACTAGTTCATAGCTTGACTTACACACCGGTACACACGTACACAAGCAGCCGTGCACATTCAAACCTACAAATGCTTAGATAGAATTGTATTCATCCTATGTCGCATAAATTGATGGGGGATGGATAACTGAATTTTCCCACAATCATATAAACAGGCCTCCCAATGTCGATGAAGTTCACTTAGCAATATTTCCTAAAATGTATTGTGGAAATATTCAACAATCAATTCTTGATTATCTTATGCAACCCAGTAGTTTCGAAACCCACCTAGATTGACATAACAATACGCGACTGAATCCTTCTTTATCCAAATGCCTATCTATACATTTAGTTAGTTTTTGCTGCAACATTGGATGTAAAGAAGAGGCAGTTAGTCTTCTTGACTTAGTGTTAACTTAAAGTCTGTAAAAATCAGCTACAACTATGACGATGTTTTCAACCCAATCATACGCACGTACGAGATTACGCATTCAAAGTCGCCTATATTCATGCAACACTAGCTCTTGATTATCCTGGACTGACGTTACATGCTGTTCAATTTAATCAAAGTTATGAATGAGTATTTCGTACCTTTGTTGGCACAGATACACACGTACGCAGTAAATCAATCTTCATACGTCTAAGCAACTATCTATTAACTCAATTATATATTGTTTTAATTATTGTCAGTATGTGTTAAATGCAAAGAAAACCGACAATTTTTTTTGAGTTAGTGATAGCTTGAAGTTTGTCCTGATGTCTGTCAAACAGACTAAAACAGTGTCCATTTTCATAGGAGACGTAAGAGCAGTTAGTCTGTGCTTCTTAAACCTGAATGTCATGGCAACATTCGACACCGCCCCAGCAACAAGAAACCTACGTCGTCTTCTAGTAAGATAAACACACAAATATCTTTGTTAGGTACATTGGCAAAAGCTTGATAGACCAAGGATGTTTAAGTTATGTTGAATCTCTTGAGATAACATTACTATATAAAATTTAATTTCTTATGAATGTGTAAGATCAAGAAATTCGTTTTATGAATCTAACCACAAGACAACGGATGATTCCCGTTATTTTGCAGCCGTTTGGCTCTGGTATGATGTTCAGGCTAATGCCGCCCATAAGACATCTTCCGTCACGGCAAGCGACGGACCTTGTTAGGGCTATAACTGATTCTTAAAAAGTTTCATGTTAACACAATGTCATACATACACACATACGTACATATTTGCATACATACATAAATACAAAAATATATACCTTATACACAAACACACGTACACATATGTTTATACACATATACAGGCAATCAAACATGCATACATACACAAAGACACACACTCATTCATACAAACAAATATACATACATTCATATTTACGTACGTGCACAGGCACACATACACACTAATATACAGGCATAGATACAAGCATAGATGCACGCGTGGGTTATGAGTTAGTATTAGTATCAACTTGAAGGTTTTGCAAGAATGAATTCCAGCTCTGATGAGATCAATCATGTAACGAGCAAGAGTTCAGCCCGTTTTCATCCGAAACGAGGGAAGATGTCTTGTGGACTGTATCAACTTAAAGATCGTATTAGAGCCAAATTATGTTATAAAAACGGTAATCAGTCGCCCTCTTCTGGTGAAATCAACCAGCATACACTTCATAGGAAATGAAAGTCTCCACGCCATAAGGTTCAGCTCAGGCGATCCCTTGAAGCCTAGTTTTTCGCCGAGAGACAAGATCACCGAGCAAGGGTCAGCTTTGTATATTCATCAGATTAACTAAAAAGTGCTGCAAATGTATAGATATATAAAGAAGAATGTATACTGCATTAGTAAGCTAATGTCAGGTCAATTTAAGTATTTGGTTGTTTGAAAGTGTATAGTTCAATTGTCGGTACCAAACCGCTAGCCGTTAAAGTGGATAATTAAATTAGAGGACAGGCACCCGCACACTGCAACATACAACCAGCCAACCAAACAAATAATTTGATATGAGTAGAGCTTCGAGACTGCCAGTAGTCGATTGTTATAGCATAAATGCGTTTGCTCCATCGACGATCTCACCAAACAATGTGATATGGGAAAAAGCCTCGCCTTCCTTGAAAGTCACATCTGCCCTGTGACCCAAGGGCACTCGTGACAATGTGGCCGAGTGGTGGTTGACTTGTCAAACTCACTTACTGCACTGTCATGGTTCGACTCCCGCTGGGGGTGTTGATAAGACTTATGTAAGGTCGAAACTGCAGTCCACTTCTGTCTGGATGAGAACAACTTTTGGGAAAGCAAGGCTTTGTAAAATTCAATGGAGATGTCAGTTCTACTCGCATCATTGTAGGAAAATTCCACTACCAGTCCTTCATCACCTTAAATGAGATAGGGTGAATACATCTCATATAAATGTTTTTGTATCTATCTATAGATGTTTACTCTGCAAATTTAATTTATCATTATGACATGACTCTCCATTTCAAAGGGAAAGTTGGTAGGAAGGAAGTGCTTATGTGGTCTCACCGGAAACCGAATAAAGATTACCACATAGGGAAGATTGTGCAAAGAAGTCCTCCACTTACCGTCTGTACTGTGACACACATCAGAATAAGTATCCAAACTGCACGAAATAAAACAAAAATATACCAAACCAAGAGAAAATAGGGCCGGAAACAACCTTAGTCACTTTTGTATGTACCCAACTTAGCGATCTTAATGACGCATCCCATGATTTGGCTGGCTACTTTAATTATAATTTACAGGCCTGCAAATGAGTGAAGTTAACTTCCCGAACCGGAAGTGCGTTCGGTGGCAGCTGTTTAA